ACCGTTGGTTTCTGTATAACGAGTGGATTTTAACTCAAACCATAAAATTCTAAGCGTATACTTATAATAATTATGCGTTAAACGCTAATTGTATCATTGTATCTAGCTGAATGGGTTTAGGAATGAAATGTACAAATAAAATCATTCTAAACACTTCAATGGTGGTAAAATACGAAGGTATAAAGTAGGAATTCGCTGTAACTTAGGTAAATACACAGTTCTACCGTGCAAGAAAATAGTTCAAAAATATAAAGTCACAAACAACCAAACGGAATACTTAAAAAGAAAAAACATTTTTTCTTATACTAGTACAAAAATATATTCCTGCTGGTTTGTAAAGTGACATTGCGCCGAAAAAAAAAAAAAAAAACTAATAACATGATACCCACGTCGTTTTGAAAATATTTTACCAACCGACAAAAGTGTTCGATATTCTAACTAATAATTATTATAACTATGACAAATAATTCAAAACGGTTATAATCTATGTATTCAATTACATAAGAGAAACGAAATGGGCTATTTATTAAGGGGTAAAGAATTGGTAATTTTCGACAAAAATTGAACTAATTGCTATTTTAAATATGCTGACTAATTTTAAGGAGAAAACATTTATAAGTTTTTCTAGTTATAAAACGTTTTAAGTTAATTTTCTCCCAATTAAGGCGAAAGTTTGATAAAAAAATAAAATCCTAACTGTCCTCAACCCATCTTTGTACTATGATGAAAACATTTTGTTTGAGTGTCCAATTCTATATAAATAAAAACTAAGTTTAATTAATTTTAAAAAAGCCTATTGCTTCGTGTTCTAATCAGTTTCAAAATATTTAAATTTACGGCAACATTAAAAGTGCATGTAAGATTTGCAAAAAATTAGAGGTCTCATTTTAGGCCAATACTACGGCCATCCGAATCTGATGAATTACTAATTAATAATAATAACCTAGAAAGGGTTGTATATTTATATACATAATATATACAGGGTGATCCACTTATCGTGATCCTTTCAATTTCTTATTAAACCCTATGAGATATTGTGTGGATCGCTCTGCATATAAATATACAGGATGATTCATTAATGATAAGACCATGTGTTACATGTATAAATTAGTTTATTTGTTAGAAAGTGAGGTTTTCGTATAATTTCGCACAATGGCTAATACGTTTGAAAAGTGATACTGAGCTCAAAAGTAAATAAAGTATTGTTTATCGAATTCTCGTCTTACCGAAAACAACATTTATTTTCTTGCGTTAACTCGAAAACACAATTTTTTTACATTAGAAAAATACTTGTGTGATTTTATGTGTTTTCCATTTCCACTGTTTGCATAAATGAACCAAACCGTTTATAAAAAAAAATTGTATACGTTCAAAACACTGTTAACACTATTTAGATACACATATTGGGCCTGCGTTAGAATGATATTCACCTAACGTCGACACATAAAGGATTTTAAAAATTTTATAGCCAACCTGACTTATTGTCGATTTTCTAAAATTATGACCTATGTGAATATTTTTTGGTTTTTATCATACAATGATATTTTAAGGTCATTGTAATTTTTTCTCCCTTATGATTTTTGGCATATCTTACAGTAACCTGTATATTTAGCTATAAATGCTAAGTTATTATTATTATTATTTTTTTTTTTTGATAAAATAAAATAAATTATATTGAATTTTAAAGTTTATAACATCAATCAAAAGAGCTTAGCCTTTTAAAATTTCTTTTGAAAAATTCGATTTCTAAATTAATTGTATTGCATTTCAACGACTATTTTTCATTATTGAGTTAGATAAATTAATTGGTTTATTAAACTTTTTTTTTTTTATACAAATATGCACGTTTTATTTAATTGGGATTGGTTTTGTTCGTAACTCTACAAGAAGACGATCATTCTAGTTTAAAAAAAGCACACGACAAATAGGTATAAATATTGGCATGATAAAATAAATAATAAAAAAGAGATAATTCTATATGAGGGACAAAGTGTAGTATTGTTAAGGAAAATTAAATGGATACCGGGTAAAGTAGTGCGAAAGACAAATACTCGAAGGTCCTACTACTAAAAATCGGTAATGGAAATATAATTAGAAGGAATACATGACATTTGAAAGAGTCACCTAATGAATTCAAAGAGGGTATGGGCTATAATGATTTAGAATATTTAAGCGAGAATTTTAAAGATAAAGTAGTTGGCCTAGGAAGGAGGTTAAAGAAAGAAAATATAACAAAGAAATTGTTAATACTACACGAAGTGGTAGGGTAGTAAAAAACCAGAGAAATCGAACCTTGAAAATGTATTAGTTTAATAATTTTGTTATTGTAGTTATTAAACCTGTTCATTAAATAATTGTGTACATAGTTAAAAATATTATTTTGTTAATACAACTAACTACTAATTAGTAGGTAGAGCATACAATTAATAATCTTTATAATGTTGTATCTAAAAAAAAAAAAAAAATTAGTAATACTAATGTAAGACCTTAATTTTTGTATGAAAAGAGACATGTTATATTATGTACACACTGCCAGTTCACAACAATGTATCACAACAATAACTAAAGCTGATAAGGTCAGTCAGTCTGAAGCCACTGCCCTAGTAACCGCACATGGCCGTCTTAATTATTATATTATTATTCTGTGTATTAATTACTGTGATTTATAATAAATCTATAATCTATTAGTCTCGCACAATACGTATGTAAAACATTTAATATAACATTTAATTTAGTTGAAAAAATTAATCCTTTTCAGCTTTATTTGCTCTAATGCTTCGTCTTTTCGTCGAGTTATGGGGAAAGTTTGATATAAATTACTTTCGTAGAAGTCATTTTCTGGCGTAACTATTGGACGGATTTTATTATTTTTTTTTAAGCAAACATTAAAACTTTTTCTAGGGGGGTATAAAGCCGATTTCTGATTTAGCGATTAGAAAATCAGTTAGATTTATTAGACAAAATTGTAAAAAAGTAACAATATTAACGCTCAAAATACAATTTTGAAAACACAAATGTTAAATTGGCTTCTTAGGTCCTTTTTTTTAATTAAAAATATGGTTTATTTTAATTTACAATCTATATAGAATAATATGACGTATAATAAGTAAGTCTGATGACAATGAAAAAGTGACATTAGTGTTAGAATAGGAAGGCTCTTAGCATTGCCATTTGACAAAAATAATAATTAAGATTTTATGCGTTCAACAGGCACTGGGCCATTGTCTTTTTAATCTTCTAGGAATAAGTGCGACAGAGGATAATTTTTTAATTAGTAGATTGGAATGAGAGTATAGTTTTGAGTAAAATTTGGTGTAGTGAAATTTGACCAGTTCGTTGAGGGTTGATAGTTTCATGACTTAGTGGAGGTTTTTGCTCGTTACATACCAAGGGGCAGAGGTAATTTTATACGCAGGCAAATTAACTAAAACGCTTGAAGGGTTTTGATGTTGGACGGCTTAGCATTCCCCCAAAGTTGGATGGTGTAGCCCGTAGAGCCAGGCTGGACGAATTATCGACTTACATATAATAAGCTTATTTGTTAAGGACAATTTTGATTTTAAAAGTGGTCTTAGGAGGTGCAATCTGGAGTTGACAGATTTGCTTTTTTGTTTTAGATGTGAGCTCCATGTGAGACGTTTATCAAACGTTAGTACTTGACTTCATTTACTGAAAGGTATGGCTTAGTTGTTGAACGTAACAGGTAGGCAGTTAGTATTGCGCAGAGTAAAAGTTACTTGAGTGGGCCTGGCTTCGTTTATTTTTATTTTCCAACGGTTTGCCCATAAATTAATCATATATTGAGATGGTTTTGGAGCATCTGATTAGCAATTTGAGAATCGTGGTGTGATGCTGAAGTTAGCGTATCATGCGCATATGCGCCAAGGAATGTGTGGGGTGTCTTTGGTATGTCGTGGGTAAACACGGAGTACAGAAAGGGAGCTATGTCACTTCCTTGTGGGACACCTACTTTAATAGCAGAGCGTTTTGAGTAGCTATTTTTGAGACGAACAGTTTAGCTCCTATGGATAAAATTCGCATTTACTGACTATTTTCATCTTAGTTTATTGAATGTTACTTTGTTAGTTATATTATTAGAGGCAGTTGTCTTACAACTTACAGAGTCGCGAAATAATTTATTCTTATGTGGTAGGTAACGACTGTCAGTTACCAGCTTCTTATTACCTTCAAATGATATTTATACTTCCGAAGCAGATGGTCTCAAATGGTAGTCCAAATCAATAACTATACTAACCTCTTATTATATTGATTTATATTTTATACACAAGCCACAAGATTAGAGACTTTCGTGAATAGTATTTCGTGATAAAAAATCATTTTATACGGTTTTTTTGTTTTATGGTATTACACGTTTTGTTGTTAGTATTTTCAATCAAACGATTTTAATCACCTCATATTTTATTGATTTAATGTTAAATAACAGCCTAAAAAATCATTATTTAAGTGTAATATAAGTGACTTGATTTACAAGTCCTGGTCGATTTGGAGTAGAACACCCCAATACTAGTGCTAGATTTCATTAAAAACTGTTAAAAAAGAATAGTTTACGTTGATCTCTTAACACTTAGGGGTTATTATAACGTGCTCTTTATTGGAATAATATTTTTTATAACAGGATATATTAGTCATAGTAATATGTGGTTTATCGTGATAATATACCTAAATACGTAGTGGAATGTCAAGGAAAAGTTGAGCAATAACAAAGTTGTTTTTTTAAATACACACACATATTAATATTAAACATTTAATTTTGTACAATTATGCCTGTTTTTTTATAAACATTTTATAAGTTAAGTATTTTATAATATATGTTTTTTAATTAAACATCTGAAAAGATGTTTAATTGTTTGTTTTTATGATATGTTTTCGGTTTTTTTTTATAAAAGAAATAATAAAACAGCACAAAATTTAAGAAACTGGTGTTTATTTGAAAAGAATAAGTTATTTTGGAGCCACAAAGGTTGTTTAAAAGTGTTGTATTTTGAAACATTTTTAGAAAAATTTAAGCAAATTTAAACATAATATGTATAATAATCAAACATTATACAAATCAGATAAAAAGTCTTCTATGCCATAACTGGCTCCGTATAAGGCGTATTAACGTTGATATGCTTAAACAAAATTTAAACTTATTATTATTATACTAGTAAGATAAGAAGTCATCAAGAGTCATCATCGGATTCATATTTTGCGTTACGTATAGATGAAATTTATTTCCTTTCATCCCGTTCCTTTTTTATAGCTTCAGCAAATTCTTGTACGGTTATACTTTTTTCTTTGCAAATGTGTCCAACAAGTTCCTTAAATTTTGCAAAATCTAAACTATCTAAAACAAAAAAACGAACATTTCAATTCAAATATAAATAATATATTATGTTACCTATTATAGGGGCATAGTGTGGTGGAGTGGTCTTGGAACCTCAGTTGTCGATGAAACAGTTTATTTTAGCTGAAATCTATTGTTTTTACAATTATGTTTTAAAATGTTTAAATTTGTGTCCGAACTAGTGGGAGAAAATATTTTTAATTTACCTCTTTGAGCGTAAATTTTTACATTTTTCGGTCATCAATTGCTAAACATTTTTTAGACGCATACCTACGCTGTTTGATAACAAAAGATACTTAAGCACTTTTATTTATATAAATGCCAATGAGAATACTTCATCAAAACCAACTACTTTTAAAGGTTTCGTTTCAAAGATAAAAAAAATGTGTTAAATAATATTTACAATAATATTGCATTTGTTTGTGGTTTTCTTTACATAAACCATTCACTGTATTTAAAACATTCTTATCGACAATAATTGCGAATGTTGCAAAATCAGTCCACCGAATATTACTAGGTTTTTTTCTAGTGTTGTTATCTATGGTACATGATAAAGCTTCTTTGAACAAATATTCCATAGCCTGAAATTTTTAATCAATACAAAGTTAAATTTCATAAAAACTCCGATTATTAAATGTATACACGTATATATTTAAATATACGTATAACTTGCGTGCTAATTAACAAGCCATAAAAAAAAATATTTCTTATTACTTGATTATAAATAAACGTACAAATTGCATTTAATATGTACTATTTTTTTTTGTTATGGGGAAAATGTAATTTTTTACTAAAAATATAATATTTAATACTCGATTTTAAGGTTACAAAATTACATTTTTTTAAAAATTAGTTAAGAAAATATATTAATTGTAGAAGCAAGTAGGTATGCCGAAGTTCATATCGCATTATTATATCTTAATGTTTTATTACCCCAAAAAAAATGTATTAACAATCAATATTAAAAACTTGTTTTGATTATAAATCATTATGACAAGTATTCTATTTATAAGTCTTTAAGCTAAAATAATAATAGTTTTTTATATAGGAATGGCTATTTAGGAAAAGTTTAACTTTTATATTATAAATTATACAGCAAAATATTGACAAAAACCTAATAGTTTTTAAATACTAGCTTAAATTACCTTAGCTTTAGCATCATCAAATTCACTTTTCGGTGGCGCTGAAATTGAAACTTCAGAGTCAATTTTTTGGTTTTTTAAGTCTAGTTCTGGTCATTAACAAATAAAAATAAAAACAATAATTACTAATTATTATTACATTTTTAGGATTTGTATACGCAGAGGTGTGAATATAATTTTTATTTCTACAGTGCTATATTATTGGAATATTTACAACACAAAATATATTTAACTTTTCATAAGTCCCATGAAAATACACGTTGTTTTTTTTTTTAGGTGATACCTTTTGTATCAACTATGTGCAGTGTGCACCTATTAAAATTAGTACATAATTTAATGTCATAGCATTATTTGTGTTTGACCATATCACTACTGTGTATCACGTGTATAATACATTTACTTAACTTGCTATAACTTAGCGAAAAACGGTTGGATCGAGTCAAACATTTTATCGGGTATTTATTAGGATGCCCCTGTCCGCAAATTCAGTTTAAATGTCAGATATATTTCTCAATCTTTTTTTTTTTATTTATGGCACATACTTTTTGCGCAGACAACTACACACACATTTTGCCGTCTTTTTTTACCGCAGAAAGTACACGAATTAAAAAAATATATACATTAAATATTAATCTGAAAAAAAACTGCATATGAACCGCTAAATACCAGATATAGTAACAATAAATACCATGTATCAAGATTTCAAAATTTTCAGAAAAGACAAAAATCTTAAAAAATAATATTTCTGAAAAATATTTTCTTTAAATAATTTTAGAAACATGTATAATGTATGTGATATCTAATGCAATGTTAATTAATACAGCCCAGGTCTGTTTCAGGTAACAAATCTGTTGAGTATTTTGTAAAGGTTTTTTTTCTCTAACCAACAACTAAATTATATTTAATTACCATTTTCCGGTAATTTATTATCGCCACACCTGAAAAGTAAACGTTAATTTTTCAATGTATAGTTTACACACAAAAAGTCTAGGCTTGATTACATTTTTATTACAAATTTTAAACTATAAAAAATGTTTAAAAAATACTTACAAAGCATACGCCGCTAGACTAAGTAAAAGAATGGTCTTGATATTCATCATTTTTTCGTATCGTACAGGTAGAATATTCAACCGTTATAATGTACTGCTTAGTTCGACTGTAGTATCGTACTGTGTGTAACTATAGTGCTCATAAGACAAAATGTAGTTTGTACGGGACCTTGAACCAATCGCAGGTGGACTGTAATTCTTTTATTGTAAAACAAAATTTCTCTTACGGTTAAATTGCATTTGTTGTAATTTAAATACAACCGGGCGGTTACGGCATGCGTAAAGAGCGAAACGACGACTGACTTATATACATGGTCCGCGGAGGGACTCAACACTACAACAACCGGTTTTAACCATAATAATAATTACAACAATAATAATAATAATACACAAACGCAACGTACCGCCCGCCTTGAAATAATTTTCAACAATTAAACTATTAAACAATTAAATATTAGTATACTAACAAACAAACAAATTTAAATAAAACATCATTTTTTTTTAATATTAGGTAGTTTCTGTATTATCCTCAAATGGTACAGGGCATAGTTTGCGGACCGCTCTCCGAAACATACCGCCCGCCGTGTGAACATCTGCTACCCGTGCAACGCCATCCTCGCCCAGAATAAGGTTAACAATCCGTCCAAGACGCCATCTCAACGGGGGTAGATTGTCCTCGCGCATAAGGACGACTGAACCGACCTTCAGCTTAGACCCCTTCTCAGTTACCCACTTAGACCTCTCTTGTAACTGCGACAAGTATTCTTGGCTCCACCGTTTCCACAAATTTTGGGAATAGTGAGCGACTCGTCGCCAACGGGTTAAACGATTCACGGGTACTTTTGACTCATCAACTTCCGGTAAGGCAGTCAAGGGGGGATAGGGTATTAACATTTTTTTTTTTTTTTGTCAACTGAATGCATAATATCTCAAGAATATTGTGTCACAATTTCAAGTCGATCGGAACAAAATTGACGACGTTATGAGTTGTCGGAATTTTATAGCTGCCCGGCCCGAGCGTACTATCGTTAACTTTAAATCGTTTTTCCCACAACTCACGTTTTCAAAGTCGGTGCCCACCATAACTTCAAAACTGCTACACCGATCCTTTTGAAATTTTGAACACTATTTCAGTACATAACCAACGAGGTAACGCTGGAGAGTTTTTTTTTTTCAAATTTGTTAATATTTTTTATTTTACAATAACAAATTAGCCGATTTTTTTCGCAAAAGTCGCGTTTTTCCCTTCAAAGTGTTCACAAAAAGTGAAAAATTGAAATTTCAAAAAACCCTCCCAGCGTTACTTGGGGAAAGCAATTATCTAACGAAAGAACTTGATTTTTTTAATTTCGGACGATCCAGCATCGAGTTATGAGAGGCACCGCAATTCTACTTGTTTCCGAGACACACATACGCTTTGGTTGCAGGCGCGTTTCGTCGTATACTGCTTTTGAGCTTAAAGGGGCCTGAGAAATCGACCCCGGAAAAACGCGCGACCTGGCGTCACTCGGTCGGTAGGCAGGTCACCCATAATAGGTTGAACTATGATAGGTTTTTGACTAAAACAGGTAATACATTCATTTACAACGCTTCTAGCCATATTTCGACCGTTAATTGGCCAATACTCCATACAAATGGATGCTAGTATGGCTTGCGGCCCTCCGTGCATTAAATTTAAATGTTCCTGTCGTAATAATAACTTGGTAAATACACAATTTTTTGGCCATAAGATTAAGTTACGTTGGAACATGGAAATGGAAGCTGCGTTCTTTGGAGAACATCGAATTGAGTCCATCCTACTTTTAGTTATTTGAATTGAGCCCCGTTTCTTATCTTAATATGTTTGAATTGATTACGTAGATAAGATCGTAAGCATAGTCTCCTTTGCTATTATTAGGAGGGAATTTGCACGGATCATATTGAATTGAGTCCCAAATAAACAATGAAGTTGGACAGTTTCCCCCCAAAATTTGGTGTGATTAATTTGACTTGTTAGTTGTTAAATCTTAAAATTGCGGCAACCAAATTTTTTAAAACTTTCAGCCTTTTTCCCAGGAGGAGGGAGGGTTGTTGAAATTTCGGGGTTTTCCTTATGCGATTTTGTTGATGAAACTTTTTATATAGAAAATGCTAAGGTTATAAGAAACCGAAAATATTTTCGAAAAACATACACTTGTGCACACATGAGAATGTTTTAGTCATTAGTTCTGCCATCGATAAATTTTCATACATTTTAAGCAGAAAAATACGTCGATCGAACGACAAAAACAATATCTAAAATTGTCAATGTTCGAATTTCTCATTTTTTTTATTGTGCACATCTTAGTGTTACTTTTTACTTCGAAAATTCGAAGGTCGTAGCAAATCGTCTAAACTTGAAAATGTTATCGAATCGGATATACTAAACTTAAGTATGGCTATCGACGGATATTCTCAAAGGAAAAATCCATTACAATTAGGGTCGGGACTCGAGTTGGGCCGAGCTGATTGAATGTGATAAATTCACTTTTTTATAAATTAATTAAAACCTTAAACTGGTACTTAGGCACTCAAAACTTACTGGGGCCACTCAAAGGAGTATATATAAAAATATTGGAATGATTTAATGATTTTTTTTTTAAGATTTAACATGTTATGTGTACATAAGAGTTCTAACTCCAGACAAATTTTTAACTAAAAGGTCCTAAAAACCCAAAGAACAACTTGCATCCCGCCGCAAGGGGGTAGGAAATGGGTCTAACTTAAATTTAAATCTTAAGTAAATATTCCTCTTTATAAATTTCAACTCGATTCGACCATTTTTCTCCTGAAAAAAACCTATATCATAATGCAAATATATTTCAGATACCAGCTGTTGACCCTTACTCATTGCAATCTACAAACTTACAACCATAAAAATGAAATTCCCCCTAAATTCTAAGGAAAGACAACTTTTTTTTTTAATTAGTCAAAACTTGACTGTAGTTATAATCTCGAAAGTCTTTTCATATGCTTCTAATCGCCAGTAGTTAGAACAACGTGTCTTAAAAATGTACTAAGTAATGCTTAATTTTAAAAAAATAGTCCATCTTGTAGTGTTATTTAAATAGATAATGAAGTATACAATTTCGACTAGCCAAAAAATACTTATTTTCACCGAGATGTACCCACTTTTCTTGTGCAGGCAAAAAAAACAAATTTTTTGAACCTGTCTAAAAATTATATTCATATTTATCAGAAAATTACTGGATATTTATCACTGTAATTATTTTCTGCGAGTTTCTGGAAAAACGGGAGGAATTTAATTTAAAATTTTGAAAATATAAAAAAAAACTATAATTAGTATCGCTTTGTCCTAAATTTTGTTTTTTGCGGTTTGATAGCCAAACAAACCAAATACTGTTACTTTTAAAATGTCCATAGTTTTTAAAAAAATGTACTCAAATAGCAACAATTGTGATAAAAACTAATTAAGACTAGAGGAAAGAAAACCGAAACAATTTAAAACAATAGCATTATTCCAGTCACTAAAGCTCATTCACAGTGCAAACTAATCACAAAAACAATTTATGGTTGATAAAATCACTTCGGGAAAAAATGCATAAAATTGTTAATGTGATATTACCGCCGATAGTACATTTTATATATTAAAAGTATAAATAGGTATTGATAAAAGCACTGTAAAGACAATGCACTTAAATTTAACCTATTGCATATAATTAGTAGGAATCATATCGCATCCTTAGAACAAGACTGCCACAACTCAAGTTCTGAGGAAATACAACTTAAAGATAGAACCTGCTCCCAAGTGGTTAATATTAACTTTAAAAGCTTTAATTTTAATACTTTTCAATTATTTTTTTGCTATCCGGTACTTGTTATTTTAATTTCAAGCTACTTAGTTATAGGCTCAGTATAAGCCGTAATGAGAAATGTGGCAATTTTGTTTTTCTTTTTAGATTATTAATATAATATGGCTACAAGACAAAATGTGGCAGTTGGTTATTATTTCATCAGTGTCATCTGGTTAAGAGTTATTATCAAGTTGAAAGTTAAAACGCCTCAAATCGAAATGAGGCAGTCTTGATTTATAATGCCTAAGTATAAAAAACTGTAGCAGTATTATATTTTTTTTAACCGAAAAAACCAAGTAATTTATTACAGAAACGTTGGTTGGGTTGAACGTCAATTAATTTTTATAAGGAATTTTTATTTGGTATGCCCCTTTACGTCAATAGTCTCAAATTTTAATTATACCCATTTTCTATCCCCTCCACGGGGGCTGCAAGGTTTTTTGTGTTTTTTAGCCGTCATTTTAGGATTGTTTAGTTGAAAATTTGTCGGGTGTTAGAACCCTCATGTATTCATAACAATTTTCTTTTAAATAAAAACAATATTGCACAAAATGTCAGAAATCGTTGTTTATTAGGAAAGAATAAGTGATTTTGGAGTCATACAAGTCGTTTAGAAGTGTTGTATTTTAAAACATAAAAAAACTAATTTTAGAAGTCTTTTAACAAAATTTAAACATATTATTAGTATACTAGTCTGATAAAAAGTTGTCTGTGTCATTATCGGCTCCATGCTATGTATAGTTCCATATTTTGCTTCGTCGAATGCTTGTACGGTCATTATTTTTTTCTCGCAAATGTATTCAACAATTTCCCTAAATCGTGCAAGTCTAAATGTTACAAGTAAGGTTATGTTTTTACTTCATATTGCAAATTGAGAAAAATTTATAAAAATTCTGGCTATACCTATACCTATACGGTTTTGTTAATA